ACCTCATCAGATTCCTTAGCTTCTCTGACGCGATATCCTATTTTACGCGCTGGGCTTCCTTGTTCTGGCCGAACATTGCAACCTGCACTTTTTTGGCGGGGGCCTTGGCCAGAAGGTTTGGGACTTCATTGGCCTGATCCTCTTGATGAAAGAACCTTGGTCGAATAAAGCACGGGAGAAGCCAGGACTGCTGGCAAGTTACTTTGAGGGATTTGGAGACTTCAGCAATCCTAAGTCCTAAGGTGAGGCTTGTTTGGCGATTTTGAAGTTCCCGTTGCCTCACCAGCTGTCGCCGTAAGGCAGTCGCACTTGACCTGATGCTGAACAATCCATGATGGTTTCATTGATTGCTTCCATTTCCATCACTAGATCTTGTGCTTCACCATGCTCTTGCCGCCTCTGCTGTTGCTTCGGCTGCTGCTGCTGCTGCTGATGATGATGATGATGATTTTGATATGTTCGATGATACTGGTGATGACGATGATATCAAAAACAGCTGACAATTGTGCTGGCTGCGGTTCAAGTGGAGACAAAGCACCATGACGGCGCGGTCGCGTTGGCAGCACGTACGACAACACGATGACCGCGACACCCCGCCATCGCCGCCATCACCGACATGACCATCATCACTTCAAGCACCGCCTCCACAGCCATCGCCAACAACAATGACAGCAGCAGCAGCAGCAGCAGCAGCAAGAATAACAACAGCAATGATTGTCACTGCTGCGCATCAGTTCTGAGGACACTGTTGACCTACCCCTACTCCTTGTCAATGTGAACCTGGAGGAGCTGATGCCGTTTTGGACTGCGCAGCTTGGCTGCAAAACACATAAGTTCTCAACCGCCTCGGCTTGAGAGAATTTCTGAATCGCCATATAGAGATATTGGTCGCGTGGCATTTGTTGATAAGTCCTGTCCGTGCCAGGAATACACATCCCAACCTTCTCAAACGCGCATCTCATATCATCTGCTGGATGAAGCGAGAAGAGATTCGTACAGGATCTTCGCAGTGGGTGCTCTCCCAGCTGCTGATCAGCTAGCAAGTAAGAAGTGGCTCAGCATGCGGTGCCTCCGGAAGGCTGAGTTCTGGCAACCATCCACAATAAATGAAGCTTCGGTGGATGAGCAGGTAAAAAATTTGTTGCTCGTTTTGAAGGGAGCACCCTTAGCTCAATTGGCGCCTTTTCAGGCGTTGGTGATGATGTTGCTAGCATTCCTAAGTAAGGGATGCACAATGCACAGATCTCCTTTTCTGGATGCAGGTAGAGAGAACTGCTTGCCTGTTATGCAACCACGGGCAAGTGGCTGTCTGTAAACATCAGCCCACAAACGCGGCTCTGCAGTTGGCTAGCACAGCCAACAGCTTTGCCAATCATGTGATCCCATCTACGCTTCCACGAAGAATGCTGCACCAACACACAACTCCTGGCCGTCTTCAAGAGAAGAGCATGGTAAGATGGAGTTAGCCAACTGAGTCTTGTGCCACATCCTGGCAGAACACTGTTGTGGACCGGATTCTGGGATGGTCAGGGCAGCGAGCAACATTGCCCAACGAAGCAGGCCTTCGAAGCATTTGGCAAGAAATTCGATATGCAACTTGTACGCACAAACACTAAGCTTGGACAAGTGGCGGCGAATTAAAACAACCTGGAAGCATGCAATGGGGAACACTTGCCCATGCTACTGGAGAGTGGCAGCATGGCCGTCATGTACCATGCCCAACGCAAGCAGAGCAACCTAGTGTTGCTTCTAGCAAGCCTTTGAGCAAAGACTGCTCTGTGGAATCTTATCGAGCCTGCTTTGTGCTATGATGAGCTGCAAGCGCTTGCTTCCGGTCCTGCCCCGGGGGGTGACCGCAGCTTCTTTTAGTGGACCTGCCCGGAGACTGCAAAGAGCTGGATAGGATTTTCACTTCAAAACTTCTGGAACTGGAAAGTCATCTCTGGTGGTATGATCTCGACTATCACAAGAATCCTAAGAGTGCATTGACAGCTGGACCCGTGCTAAGCCCACAACGTGCAGCAGTAGCTTCTGGAGCCTGGGCACCGCCTGAGAAAGCCATAATGTTTCACGGACCCTTCCCAAAAAGATCAATGTGCCCTCAACATGCTGTTCTGGCTAGGCGCCATGGACACCTGTCATTACTTGCCAGTGGCCAGTGCAGTAAGCGTAGTTCCTCCGTGAAATCGTGTTGTCTCAATCTGCAACAAGCACCGCCACGACTTTGGGGAGAACCGGCGGTGCTCCACAATGGCGAGACCTAGTCAGTTGGTTGGAAGCATGCGCAAAGTGCTTTGAATAATTTAACTTGGCAAAATTTCTTGTAAGTGTACTCATGTCCTGAAGCTGTGGACAGACTGCCGTGCTTGATTCCGCTTCGAGTTCCAGACCACAAGCCGGTGCCAAGATCAAGGATTCATAAGTTGTTTGGATGACCCATGTAGACTTCGCAGGCCATGGCACTCCATGCTCCTTCGGCAGTCTGCGCGGCAACTATACTCCCCGACGTCCCAGTCCCCGCAGTCTGCGTGGGAACGACGTCTCAATCTCCTCTTTCTGACCAGCTTCAGCTCATGAATTCTGACTGCCGCAGAGCAGTTCAGGGCCTTTTCGCTGATCTTGTGGACAGATGTCTTAAGGACGCAGTGAATGAAATCAGGGGAAAAGAAAATCTTCAGTGTGAGGAGGATGTTGCCATGATGTTTCTCACGCGTGGAAACTTTCCCAATCAGTGGTTTCTGCAACTGGCGGAGTCGGGAAAGGACGGAATGTTATGGGCTGGGTTTTGGAACGGACCTGGAGCGGAGACTGCACGCGCAGCCCTGGATGCTCTGTTCAACTTTGCCGATCTGCTGAGCGCGTCGACAGTCCATCCTGACACCGAGCTTGGAAGACTTGTGAACAAGTGCGGAGAGCTGGAAGCCTGTTCCAGCGACCCTGCAGCATTCGGTGAAACTAGAGCATTAGAGGGCGTGGTGCCTAGCTTCTGGCAATTTGCCGGCATTGGATTTGTGAAGCCAGGGAACAAGCTTCCCTTGTCATTATGGTTAACAAAGACCTTGTTTCAGCCCGAAGCTCGTTCCACTCTGTGCTCTGGGAGTACGAGCTGCCCGTGATTTCGAGAGAAATTTCGTTAGCGTGGATTATCACCGTGAAGTCATGGACGCCCCAGAATGGCAGCCTCAACTTGTCCTTGTGAGTATGAAGGGGACATGTGGAACACTTAAGCCTAAGATCAATGAAGCTCTCATCTTGCTGGGAGAGCCGCGTGCAGTTCAAAGGCTTTTGCAGGAAAAGCCACTGCTGTGCTTTGACTGCGCTGCCCCCTGCAAGTTGGATGAAGACTTGGCAAGGAACGTGCGGCAGGAAATCGGCGAATGAAGATAACCTACAACAGCTGCCGGTTACGGCTTCCTGCAGCGCAAGGCAAGTGAATACTTGCTACAGCATGTTGATTTTCCAGCTTGCCACCTTGCCGTGAGGGCACAGAGACCACCCAGGTTTCGACTCCCATTCACCTCAGGTCTGGCTTGACAGGTCCGGGAGGTGCTTGGTGGAGCGACCTGCCAGAGAGTTTGCGTGCGATGTGCTTGTTAACTTTCGGCGGCTTGGGCCACAGGGAGCAGCTCAACGTCCTGTCCCGCCCCTGACCAAACCACTCTTTGGAACAACGCTCTTGAGTGAGCTTTCTTTCCGAACTTGGTACACATGGCCACCAAAACCAGGAACTTCCAAAGCTGACTCGGCTCGCGGCGTTGGGCCTGGATGACGGAGCGGTTGCACTCGCCTTCCTTGCAAAGGATGAGTCGCGTGTGTCCGTTGGCGGACCGGTGGTATTTCCGCTCGTCGCCCCCGTCCCGTTGTAGGAGGCATGGTCGCAGAGCTCCTCCGCGTGCAACACCATGTACGACTCTGCATCCTCGCTCCCCATCTCGAAGCGGTTCGTGAACGCACCATAGCCGGGCTTAAGGGAGACACCGTTCTCCGTGACAAGGACGTCGTTCGCGGCCGTCGTCTTCTCGGAGCCGCCTGCCGGCGCATCGCCCACGACAAAGAAAGAGGAGTGAGCGGACTTCTTCTTTTGCAAGGGGCTTCTTCTTGATCGCACTCGGCGTCGCCTGCCCAATGCCCCTTCAGGCCACAGAAGTACACGGAGTGACCGACTTCAGGAACTTGATGGCACGTGTCCTTTGGTCGACCGTCACCTCGCCCTTTGCCTGAAGGGGAAAGCTCTGAGACTGGCCCTTTGACCCTGAACCCTTGCCATGTAGCTTCTGTCCCTTCTTGCGCTGAAGGATCGTAGCGAAGGCATCCACGAGCTCGGGGTCATCTGCCAAGTCCATGTCCTGAGCCAATGCTTCAACAGCATCGTCCGCATCGCCGTCGTCATCGACCTCGTAGGCCTCGTCCTCGGGGTCCTCCTCGTCATCGTCGTAAAAGATCTCGTCGCCCTCGGCTTCGTCCTGGCCATTCACCTCCTTTCGGGAAAGGAAACAATTCTTCGCAGGACAGGTGGGCTTGAGCCTTCTGTGTGTCATGGCAGGGATGGCCGTAGGCGTTCCTCTTGACATCCATTCCGGCTGGGAATGGCTTCCCTCGTTCTTCGGGATACGCGCCGAACGAGTGGGTCCTGGGAAAGCATGCAACAGATGCGTCTCCCTGGCAGTTTGCTACTGGAACCTAAAGCAGAGCGACTCGAGGTCCTGGAGGCTGCTGAAGATCCCAACTCAGCTATGGCCAGGTCACTTGGCGTCCGAGAGGCCGCCCGTGTTGCTCAAGTTCGGATGGATACGGACAGCCGAGTGAGACGAGCGCTTCTACATCTTAAGTACACCCACAAGAGGCCCATATCCGGTAGGTTCGTATGTATATTTTTATAGACAACAAGCTCCTCCACGGTCCCGCAAGAGTCATAGGAGTGGAACTTCGCAACCAGCGCCGACTTGAGGACCAAGATCTTCCTACCGAAGGCGGTCAACCCCATTCGTATTGGTTGCGCTATGGCAACTCCGTGGTCCTTGTCACAGGCGAGCAACTGCGCTTTGCAAGCGAAGACGAGCTTCTTGCTGCCCACTCAGTTCCACAGAAGATTCTTGCTCCACCTTACGCTCGTGGCGCTAGAGGCTACATGGACTTACGTGCTCAACCCCTTGCTGATCCTCCTGCTGAAAACCAAGACGCGCGATCTCGGCAACGACCCCGCGTTTCTGGATCAATTCAGCCTGTGCATGCTTCGGCTCTGGTTCCCGGCACTGATATTCCCGTCGTCCATGGACTTCTACCTCCTCAACCTGAAGGAGACGATGGTGGCTTACTCGACGAGTTAGGCCAGCAGCAAGTTCCTCAAGAACCACCGCAGATTCCAAGGACAGGCGCCGCAAGTGTTGGACCAGGTCAACAGCAAGTTCATCAAGAACCAGCGCAGATTCCAAGGACGGGCGAGGGGGCATCCCTAGACAGACAAAATTCGCACATGTCTACCGAGCCAGAACCTCATCCTACACCAGCACGTACCACCAGTTCAGGGAGCACAGCTTCAGCCAGCCCATGATGCACTACATGTACCTCCAGCGCAACCGTCATCGAACGTCTTCCAGGATCCGAATCGACTTGATGGCTATGTTCCTGTTCGCTCTTCAAACAGGTCCGCCAGTAGCACTCAGGCACCGTACTTCACAGAGGACTTCCTGTGGGACGTTGAGCCTTTGACGCGGACTGTGAGGGAGTGCAGACTACGCAAGATGGTCGATGGCATCGAGGAGTACGAGATCACACTGACGATGACGACGAGTCGGCCTTTGCGTACCTGTGCCCGGACGTGTGTCTGAGATCAAGCTCAAGGATCTCTCTCCTGAGAACCGATCCAAGTTCCTGGCGTCTATGGAAAAGGAATGGACTTCTTGGATGAAGTTCAATGCCGTCGAGATCCTCACGCCCGCTCAGATCCTTTCACTACCAGGTGATGTTCGCATCATTGGTACACGTTGGGTGCGCACTGACAAGAACCAGAAGCAGCGGCTGTTGGCACTTCACCTCTGTCAGAAGACTGCAAAGTCCAGGGAGCAGGTGACCAAGGAGTACCCCTTTGCGGCGAAGTCTCGTTTGGTCGCGCAGGGTCACCAAGAAGATGCCTCAGACCTCCGTACGGATTCACCTACGGCATCACTCCTGGCCTTCAACCTCGTGAGTGCTGTTGCGGTCCTGCAGAGCTGGGAAGTGCTGGCTGCTGACGCGTCTACCGCATATCTCCATCTCAGGGGATAAGCCGGCTTCTCATCCTGCGTCCAGCGGGGCCACCACCTCCTGGACTTGGCCCCAACGACCTTCTCCGAGCCAAAGGTTCCATTTATGGGACAAAAGACGCAGGCCGTTCCTGGTGGAAGAAGTTGTACAAGACACTCCGCAAGAACGGGTGGCGCATGTCCGCCATCGAGCCTGCGCTCTTCATCCTTGCTGATGGGTCCAGCCTGCTTGGAGGTCTCATCACGCACGTCGACAACCTCTACAGCTGTGGAGAAGGTCAAGCTTACGTCGAAGGCGAGTGGCAGCTTAGACCTTCCGAGGCTGCTCAGGAGAAGAAACTTCTGATCAGGGCAGGAAGGCATGCCAGAAAGGCAGCCCGAGCTCGAGCCGAGGACGGGTGTTGATTTTCCGGCTTGCCACCTTTGCACAGCAGTGGCATGAAGGGAGTGCCGATGCATCCGGCTCGAACCCAGGGCGCCCTTTGAGGTACTAAAAGCTGCCGTTGCTCTCGCACGCCGCTGTTGAGAGTTTGACAGCATGTTCAAAAAAGGTGCATGTGTCGTGCCTCTCCAACTGCAGAGGGGAGAGCACCGGGTTTGCCAATCAGCTCATCTTACAGGTAGGACCGATAAACATCAACTAGTGCAAGTTTTGGATTTTGCAGCTGGCAACCATGCACAATGACAAGAGTAGCTTGCTGCTTTCAGCCTACAGCTGTTGTGTTCAGTGAAGAATACAACTAACAAGTAGAGGGGTTCAAAGTTCCAAACTTTCAATCCTGCTAGATTCGCCCAGGTTTTCGAGTTTGACTGTGATCTACTGGTGCATTGACATCATCCTGGCTTTCAACACGGGCTATCTCTGCAAAGGAGAGCTGGTCTTCGACCGGCGCCGCACTTTGACGGCTGGTTCTAGAAGATTCGTAGGAAATCCGCCTAATAAAAAAGTCCAGAGGAAGTACCCAAGGTTAACATCCAGTTCAGACATGGCAATATGTAGCTGGGTTCAGTGGAGCCCAAGCAGTCCCGTAATCTAACAAAGAGATATTGAACCCTGAAAGCCCACGTTTGCTGCTAGCCAGAGAGAAGTCGCATGATGCGTATCAGACGGAGGTCATGCAAAAACTCTTGGGATGATCCAGAAACTGAAGTAGACATAACACAAGGTTCATTGCGCTTTCGTGTCTCTCTGAAAGTCCTGCCAGCCAGACCCAGTACTCACATAACAGTGGGCTCTTGCGGGCTTTCTAGTGAATAGCTTTGGAACCAGATTTCCTGAAAACTTTCATGGTTTGGGCGGGATTCTGCCGTCAGTCTTGCTGTGTGCGCAATCTCCGTCTTGTTGCTTGGATTCCTGAATTTCTCCAGCTTGAAAACTCAAATGTAGGAACCTGGAAGCTTCAGCTTTGATTTCCAACTGAACACTTCCTGCCAGGCATTGCGCTTCATTACTTGCGAACGTGGTTCCTCATTGATATCTCAGCTTCTTGGCAATACTCTCAGCCGGCAACAATGCTGGGACCCTGGTCTTGGACCATCACGATCTCGTTCTAAATCTTCCAGGCAGTGCTAACTAACTCAGCTAGTCCAGCAAGTTGCCAAGCTAGTCACACATCATGCTTGAACCTGGACGCATGCTGGAGCAGAAAGATAGTCCCACTCCACCTTGGCGTGCGTGGAAAAACCCTCGATTTTAGGTGACGTTGGTTGACCTGTCGCTGGAGTTCATGAATGTGGTGGATGAATCTGCAGCAGCCGTGCAATTCTTCCGCAGCTTTCTAGCGTTCAGACCTTTGCTATAACTTTTGTCAGGTTGCAGGCTTGGCGTTGAGTTCTTGCAATGAGGGCAGTCAGGGGTGCTCCAAATTGGATAGCATGGGTGTGCAAGGGGTACCCTTTATTTTGAGACATCACTGTTTTCTTCACAGGCGCGGACATCCACCTCTTAATGATCCTGGACGTGGGCAGCCTTACACTGAGTTTCTACGATATTCACGCATGGAAATTTTGACTCCTGCCAAAGAACCACCACAAGTAAAAGCCCAAAGCACCAAAGGGCAGGCCGTGCAAACACGCTGCGGATCCAATGATACCCCCTTGCGCGGATTCGAATAACCTGTGCCAAGATATTACAGGAAGACACCTAGTCTAGTTGTACTACCACTAGACTAACTTCTGACTTTAGTCAGCTCCCGTGACATGTGCTGCAGTGTTACAGGTGTCGGGATTTAAACAAGGCAAGATGTATGATGTCGACGCTAAACGATTCTCAACACTACCTCTTACTTTTCTCTCGCAGATCTCTTTGAGGTTTCTTGCGGGTGCTCCGCATGCTTCGGCTTGGAAAGGCACGCTGCAGCGTGGGATCCTTTTTCAAGACATGTGCTGTTGGTAGTGATTCAGCAGCTTGATTTATTTGCGGCAGTGACTCTTTTTTGTTTCGATGCGGGTCAATTCAAGTTCACAGTTTTTCTGAGGGTAATTCTGTCAGCTTGGGTCTGTCCGAAGTTATGTAAAGTACGTCAACGAGACGTTTACTCAGTAGCATGGAATGGTCTTAATTGGCGTCAGCACGGCTCAGCATGTTGCGGGCTGTGTGATTCCACCATTCTCTGGCAGCAGTGGCCTAGAATGACTCTGCGTCAGCATAGCCAGGTGGGACAAATCTCTGCCTTCTTCCAGGATAAGTTGGAGTCAGAGGCCAGCTCAGAGCTCAAGTTGCAGAGGGCACTGGCCTGTGGAAGTTAAGAATCTTGATGGGCTCTTCAGTTTTCGTTAGAGGCCTTAGAGACAAACTTTGTTTAGCTGAACCTGTGTCAAGAAGGCGCAAAAGATGCTCAGGATGGCTTTGCGTGTGTGTTTCGGGGAATCTGAGGGTTCGGAATGCTTGGCTTTGGCTTGTGTCTGCCATCTGGTTTGCTCCTGCGCTTCGGGTTTTGAGACTTTTGCAGGACTCGCAACGCGCTTTTCTGGTCAGATTCGGAATCATGTCAAGGATGCATCAGGATCCCAGCTGTAGGCCACGTAGATCGTGCCTGTGCCTGTCAACATCAAGACTATCGCATAGCCCACAACTAGTGGCACCTTGAACCCCACACAAGCGTGACCTCACAGGCCACGTAATTGTGCAGGGCCCAAATCCTTTGCTTCTCGCCGTGAAGCTTGAAGCATCGGGAGCTGCAGGTGGCCTTCATGGAGTTTAGCTTGTTCCTGGTCGTCCTCTCAATGCTGCTAACAGAGCAGCTCCGACGGCAAATGACTATTTCTACTGGTTGGGGCCTTCAGCCAGAGCGTTCAGCTGAGGCTGCCCGCTGAGGCATTCGGCGCCCTCAGCATAGTTCTCAAAATTTGTCTTCAACTTGAGAGCGGGAGGGGACCACTCTTTCTTCAACTCGTTGACACGTTGGTTAACTCAGGAAGTATATGAGCATGCGTTCACCGAGTCCAGCACAATCATCCCGCTAGAGGATGCTGCGCCCATTGTCGCAGGCTCACGCTTGAATTCATTCGCTCATCTCGCTTGCTATGCAATCCGATCTTCCTCTCCTGAAGAAACACGCATTGCGTGGGGGTGAAGCTTGTGAATTGTTTTTTTTTGAGATTCCTCTTAACTCTTATTTGTTTTGCTCTTCTTTGCTTCATTTCATTGCTGTGGCGACGCACTGCGGACCCAAGCTTCGATCGTAGAGGTAGCCCTGTACCACCTAAAACCCCTCAGGTTGCTGTAGCTCCCAGGAGTCAGGAAATGTATCGTGGCGCAGGAGTTTTTTCGTCAAGCATCTGCATGGTAGTTCTGGCCATATTTGTGATTAATTAGTGCCTTTGCCACGAGCCTACTGTACCTGGATCATGTGTCTTCCGACGTGTGGTAGGGTTGATGACAGGGTTTGTCCTGCACCTCGGGCATACCGTACCTTTGCTTTTGGAGAGTTGGCATTGTGGTTCCGCCTGTCATGCATCAGATTCTCAACACGGATGCACGTGCCACTTCGCAAGTTCTGGTGCTGAAGCGTGAATGTTTGCGCGACAGGCCAGATTAGCACCGTTTGTTGTAGAACTTCCGCACTAGCAGGCCATCATCGCGCAGCTGTTGTGCTAGATCAACCTGACATTTCTTTAGCAAAAGGGTTCTAGACACCACCCAAATACTGACACCCTTATGAACAGTAGCCCTTGATGTGGACATCATGTTGAAGCATCCCGACTCCTATCCTTCCTGTATAGTTTACGTCAGATATGCAGCCCAACGAAGGCTGCACCAAAATCCCAGCAGTTTGACATGGCCATGCAACGTAGGCATGTCATCGCTTGCTTCTGGCTTGGCGTGGGCTCCCTGGACGACGGGGGCAGCTCGGTACCGTTTGAAAGACAGATTGCATAGCAGGAAATACTTGGATGAAAGTTATAGCCCCATTGCGGACCTGGAATGAACGTAGTACAAGTTTTTGAAGGGAAATCGAAGCGTCCGTGATAGTAGGCTTGATGCGTTTTGTTGCTCTGAGCACCAGACATGGCGGCAGTGTAACTCCTTTCATGGCTTTACAACGGGACTTGCAAGGATCGCCCAGGGTTAAACGTTTTTACCCATTGCGTCAGACAGCTGATGCAAACACCATGTTGGTGCAGAAATTCAGACTGCTGAACCACTTCCCAGATTTCATTAGCACCAGGCAGGACTTTGCCTCACCAAAAACGATCTTGGACTGCTGCGCATGAGACCTGAGAAGCTCTGACTAGGGGAAATCCGATTTGTGCACAATCATCCTCAAGAAGTTCTGTGTGGAAGTGCCATTACATTTGGCAACGTGGATAAGAAGGATTTGCCATCAGACTTGCGTGACGGATACATGCCAAGCTCCTTGTTTGTGTTGCCCGTGCAGCGCCATTCGCTCCAGCAATGGCTGCTCTGTGCTCTCGCGACGGGCCCTGCCCGCGTCCTCTGCGGCCATCGCGCATACCAGTGCTGTGGATGTCCTCGCCCAGCCTGCTGCTAATCAGTAAGCCTTGACTCTGTGCCTGGCCTGATGCAGGCTCTCTTTGCGTTCCTATGCTGTCCGCTCCCTTTCTCCAACCTGTGTCTGTCAAGCTTTGCAGCACGGTGTCCACCCCACCCCTCTGGGTTGCACCTCGACCGTCTCCCTAAAGCGCAGGCCACCAGAACGCCTGTGCTTAAGATGTAGGTCGCACCGTCTGGGGTAATTTGTAGACGGGTGGGCACTCCCCGCAAAGGTGCAGCAGGTAGACGTCGTCGCCCT